GGGGGAAACCGAAGTACTCGGAGAAAACCTGCCCCACCGCCACTTTGTCCACCACAGATCCCACTTGACCAGACCCGGGATCGAACCCGGGCCGCCGCGGTAGGAAGCCAGCGACTAACCTCTTGAGCTATGGCGCGGCCTCTGTCTGAGGTCATTCTGTGTCTGTGTTAGGTAGCGGCTTTACGACGGTCTGATTCCCCGTCCAAGGAGTCCTACCGACTGTCTCAGATTAAGAAACTGAAGTGAAACGAAGCGTTTCACAGATGCCCTGTGCTCCAAGTGGAAGCAAAAGAACTTAGAAGACGATACCGTCCAGATTGGCTCTGGAGCCCAACCTGCCCCCTATTCCATGTGCACTGTGGGCGCTTTCCCTGCGAATAAAGCGGTGTGGCGTGAAGCTTACCACTCACCTCCAACTTGTGAGAAGGTGAAAAATAATGGAGCTATACCTCCACCAATCCATGGCTCCGTGGCGTGGTCCTTAATTAATTAAGCAAAGGAAGAACCTTACCTGTCTCTCGCAATGCATTATGTATCTTAGGTTGCACATATCCTTCGGTTATGAATACGGAAGACGCGCCATAGCTCAAGAGGTTAGTCGCCGGCTTTCCACCGCGGCGGCCGGGGTTCGATCCCGGGTCTGTCAAGTGGGATTTGTGCTGGAAAAAGTGGCGCTGGGGCGGGTTTAGAGAGAGGATAGAGGGTGCAGTAAGGTCCTATGACCGGCCAACTCGATCAAGGTTTTCCGTGGTTTTCCTCGATCCCAGAACAAACGACGAGTTGTTGCCCAAATTCCACGTTACCCTCCATGCTTCACATGCAGCACTCCCGTTGGTAACGTCAAAATTTCGCTCTAGTATATCCCTCCCAATCTTCGTTCAGACTTTATTACAATGCAGCCCTTCCAGTGTCATATAAAAATTAATTCCGATTATAAGCCTTCAGAAGGACAAGCGGGCACTGCCTGGGAACCTTCAAAACCGGAGATACAATTTCTTGCCCCCCCCCCCC